TGGGGGAGCAGGCAGGGGGCTGGGGGCTGGCAGGGGTCCCCCCATGGTCCTCTCCCCCACCCCCTACTTAACAGCTCTGAGTCTGGGTCCAGCTCCCTGCTGCAGTGGGCGCAGACTGCCCGAATCATGGAAGCTCTCCGAATCTTTTCTGAAGATTCAGCGAGCTTCAAGTTGATTTGGACCTTTTTACTGGTCCCCTGATTCAATGAGGATTTGGAGATTCAGCCACTGAATCACCACCCAAAGCTTCGCACAGGCCTAGTATTGACCCAGAATGGGAAAGAACTTTAGTGGATGCAGTTTATTTATTTTTCTGTTAAGTTTTGGTTTAAAATCAGAGGACTGGATTGTGGCTATGGGGATGGCTTGGAGGCCATTGGGGTGCACCCCCATGCATGTGCACGCCCTGAGCATGGCAGTGTACCCTCTACAAAAAGGCCCTGCCGACAGTGTTGGCGGCACCTGCAAGCAGTCACCGCTCACCACCACGCCACTGACACCGCCGGCAGCATCTGTGGGCGGTCCACGATTCCCACTTGGTCGACTCTCACCCCCGCCCCTTCCCCACCGATAGCGCCAGTGGCATCTGCGGGAGCTCCCCGCTCACCACCGCCGTGTTCCTGCCGCCAGCGTGCCCCCCACCCTGCTGTGGGTACGCACTGTTCATGCAGTAAAGTGCTCCCTAGTGAAAGCCAGGGACCCCAGGGTTCAGAGCAGCATGTAAGCAGTCGTGCCAGGTATGGGACCTTAAGGACTGCCACATGAGACAGGGGCCAGGGGCCCAGAGCACACAAGTGCAACATGGGGCTGGGGCCCAGAAGCTGAGGTCTGGGGCAGTGGACCTTGGGCTAGGGGGCCCAGCTAGAGGAAAGGGGTGAAGCCAGGAAGGTGGAAGCCCCAAAGCAGGCTTGAAGGGATGAATGCAGAATCAGGGACAAAGGGCTCCCCTCTAAATACATATGTAAGGTATGGGCGTGACTATGGAGATGACTGGAGGTCACAAGTATTGTCCCTAAGGCACAACTGGGGCTGCCTTAAGGGAAAACCAGCCTTGTAGAATTTGGGGCAGAGAAAACCTGAGGGCTGTACACTGAGAAAATGCACCCAGGAAGAAGGTACCCCGGCCTCTGGAGGCAGCATTGCCAGTTAGAAGACCCTAAGACAGGGGTAGGCCACCCCCAAGCAAAGGCATTTTGCTTGGCATGAGCGCCTCAGGGCAGACAGTGGGGAAGGGGCTGGAGCTGCACTGCCACACGGATCGAGCCCCTCTCGGCCCCCCTGCTGTCTGCCCCTTGGCAGGCCAAAATCTTACAAGTTGAGGTTGCAGGTATTTTCAGCACTTTGCCCAAAAATATTGCCAACCCCTCCCCTTAGATCAAGTCACGGCAGGTGTGAGATAGGCAGTAGGGGGAGTCTGGGGAGTGTGGGCAGACAGGTCTGACGACTAAGTGGCATCAGATACCAGGTGGATCACCTCAGACTGTCATATTCCTCCTCTTCAACAGAATCACAATGCTTTCATTCCCTTTCTACAGCCAAGAAACAGGATAGACTCACCAGACTCATATTTGCAGTTGGTCAGATTAATCACAGGTCATCTGGAAAAAAAGAAAAAAAAAGGAGAGACACAGAGGCAGATAGACCAAAACCAGTTCAAACTTAATAATGAAGCCCTGGAAAAACTTTACAGTCGAGCTTTCACAAACTTACCTAAAAGCACTAATACAAATGAACACACTATTAAGCAACATATCATATCTCAACAGGCTATTCACTAGAAGTTTTTGCTCAGTGGTCACATGGAAAATTATTTCCTTGGGGAATAAAAGGGAAATAAAAAACGCACAATTTGTCTTTCCATAGATGAGAAAGGTACCATTAATTAGAATTCTCTGAAGACAATAACAGTGCAAGTCCAGTGTAAATGTTATATCCTGGTTAAAGAATCCCCAACACAAAACATCAGCAGAATGAATGTACAGACTGATTACTTAGCTATTTTGTAAAATTAATATGAAACATGTTTCTTAGAAACATTTGGTTATATACCTTACTTACCTAACCTCTAACCCTGAAACAGTACACAAACTATAAATAGGAAAATGGTGGCCAACAGGTAATGCTAAGTTCAGATAATGTTTAATTTCGAGAATTCTGTTGATTGGTAAATGCTATTTATTTATGCTGAACAAAAATGTTGCTGCACTGCAAGCTCCTCTTGTGAACTTCTGTCAGGAAACACAGCACAAACAAATTAAGCAGCTTAAAAAACCCACCTATCCTCTTGGAAACTAAGCTAAAAAGATGAACAGTGAAACCTCATTTATCCAGAAAGCTTGTTTGTTCAAAATGAGGCCATCTCCTCTATTCTGTAAATGCACCAAAAGTTCTCTTGAATGTCCTAATTAATTTAATGTCAATATTTTTTCAGATGAGATATCAGTGTACTTACTATACACCAAATTAAAAGGAAAAATATGAAGATAGTATCAGTAAAACACTACTGTGATGAGAGAGAAAGGAAACAAGTGAACAGATTTTTTTCGAAGTTAAAATACAGCTTCCTAAATAAAATACAGATAAAACATTTTTAAACACAGGGAAGGCATTTTTGCAATTTAGTTTCTAAGTTGTTCAGAGTGAGAACCTTGATTTGTTGTTTGTCTAGTCTTATGTATCTCTATGGTGATAATAAATAAACATAGCAAAATCATGACTGCCCAAAGAGCTTGGTCAACAGTAGTTAATCAAATGGGCATTAACCAGGCAGGACGTATGCACTGGAGTCAGTTAAGGTAGTCTGGACACTGTGAGTAGGGTAACTGTAATAAAAATAACAGTGCTTTCTTCCTTCTCATGTCCTTGTGACAGGGTGATTCAGCAGAATTTGCAGATTCATTGAAATGTGACATGGCCACACCACAAGTGTTTATAGCCTCAAACTTGCAACCTCTGGGCTATCAACCATGTGCCTTAGCAGCACACACGTCACCCCAGAGTACTGATTTGCTCTTATAGGTCCTGGTCTAACCCTGTTGAAGTCAATGAAAAGACCTCTAATGATTTTGAGCGGACTTTGGATCAGTCCTATAATCCCATTTAGCCATGCAATTAGCCATTTTGTGGATCTAATTGGGGTTTATAGATGGAGTTTAGACAGTAAGTGACTTGATAACTGATTCCACTTACTGCAGTTCTAATCTGATATGGATAAACACATGTGTGAGTGAGCACAGACAAGCAAGGCTGGGGCTAATTGGAAATCACAATTTTCTGGAAAGTTTTATACACTGAAATTACTTTAGCTGATTTTAATACAAAATAATAATGCTAATCTAATGCATTCTAACACAACAACAGAAAGCAAATGAACAAAGGGAGAGAGGGATGGAAAGAAAGGAAAAGGAAGAAAGGAGGAATGATGATTGCTAATTTTACCTCTAACATTACAATCCCACTGAGTAAGGATGAAAAGAGGGCACAGCAGTCCCAGCCAGTTCTGTCATGTAATGGTTCTGAACTACAGTAGTTGATCCTATTAGAGGCCCAAATATGATCTCAACATCACAGTATGATAGGAAAAAAGGGAACACATTTTAAGTTATAGTTATAGAAAGCTAATATAGCAATAGGTACTACAGCAAAGATAAAAGAAACTATTCTTTTTCCTTCATGTTTTTTTTGTTATGAAGCAACATTTGAGGTTATAACCAGAGAAACAGATGTGGCAATACTCAACAAGGCTGAGCCATGTGACACATGCCTATCAGAAAACAATGAATGAAAAAGCACTAGCTAGCCAACATAGGAACATGCTTCCCCAAAGTCATAAATCAAAGCCTACATCCTGATGTATTAAATGGGGATCCAGAGAATATTCTCCTCCAGTACTATACTATAATAGTAACTCATGCATTTCACACTAGCACTAGAACTCCCCTAAACTATTTTCTTTTCACTGGCACAAGAATATGGTAAAAACATTACATCTATTGTAGTAACATTACGTACTAGGTTCTTTCTAGATAGTTAAAAAAGTTCATATTCAAAGTCACTCAAAAACCTGCAGAACTTAAATATTACCATTCCTTATTTAACATCAGAACTGAATTCCATTATTTTGTCTCAGCTGCAAATTCAACACTTCCATATTCCTATTCCACTACAAACATCCAATGTTCCTTCCCCTTCTCTATAGGAACAGTCTGAATAACCCTGTTTCACAATGTCCCTTCACTACTAACACCCTCCTCTATTTTCAGGAGCCTTGTCATGTCAATACTTGACTCTAACCTCTTTCTCTTTCTTTTCTTTTTCCTGGATGTATTTGAATCTTGATTTTCTTTCTTTTCTCCATAGTCCACTGTTTCCTGGTCTGGGATGCCCAAGACACTTGCTTCTCCTTCTGTTGGTAAAACTTTTGATTTGGTTCCATTTTTGTTATCCAACTCTTCTGCTTTGTACTCATCTCCTTGAAACGATCTGTATTTTTGCAGCATATCTGATGCTTTCATCCTGTGGAAATATACACAACAAACCAAAAGCAAAGTAAATATAGTAGTACAGGGATAAGCAATAATTCTTTCAATTGTTCTGAGAATAGAGATGCTTTTTTCTAATCTAGCTGGTAAAGAAGGGACATAACTTCCTGCAGAGCCCCAAGTTAGGAAGGGGTACATTCAACTACTTATTTACAGTATTCCATTTTCCATGATTTTCTTCCCTTTCTAGAAGGATCAGAAGGAATATGTACCCAACTTGTTGATTTTAGCCAATACCTATTCCAATCTGAACGGCACCCCTTACACAGGAAAAGAGGTTTGTTTGACTCTTGAGCCTGTTGCTGACCCTCTACTTCAGTGATAATGATAACAACGCATTATACAATTGTCCTGGTCCCAGTCTTCAATGTAAAGTGGAAGCACCTGCATCTCCTGTCTCTCAAAACCTAGCACCCCCTCAACATCTTGCTTTCCTTCTATGCATTTAGTCCTCCTCAGATTTGAGTATAATGCTGTAGCATTGAAGAACCAGTGCCTAACCTGAAAGCCATCTTAGTGCTGACACCGGATCTGAGGGATGAAAAGACTCAGACTCCATCAAATCTGCAGGTGAAATCCAAGTCTAACAGGTCAGGTTCTCTTGCAAACAGAAAGCTCTGTGGCAGAGTACAGAGAGGTTAAGGGAGAGGAAATCTTTACCGAAGGTTTATTTTCCTTATATAGCTTCACATTTTACCCTGCCCTTCTGGCTTGAGTTGATTGAAGGCTCCTAGAAGTAAGGATTCATTTAAAGTATCAATAGCAAGTAGTTCAGAAAACAAACCTCTCTCAAACCTTTTAGTGACAAAAGTAGTTTGATTTTCATTTAGAATTTCACTAAACAGTATTTTATTTTGCATTTAAAAATCTTTGGTGTACCAAAAATTGAATTCCTGATCCTAAGCTCCACCCTTGGGGTTTGACATACCAGTAACCTTCCCACCCCAGCTCTGTCACAGTATCCCTCTCTCTGCACTCCTTGTTTCTACCTACTCACCCCAACCTCCTACAGTTCAGCTCTAGTTCCAATTTCATCCCAACAAAGCTGCTTTCTCCTTTGCTTAAGCCCAGAAAGGAGGGGGTCACTGAAAGAAGTGAAGACATATCTTCCCTAGTTTTTTTTCCCCTGATACCTAGAACTAGAAAAGCCAAAGGCTGAAACACCCAGTGTGGAACAGAATCCTTGGGAGATAGAACAGCTGTCCCAAGAAGTCTCTACTAAGCAGTGTTTTAAAGTTTGTATAGTCACCTACACTTGTGCAGAGTGGGTGCAAGACACTAGCACCAATGTGAAGAAAAGATATAATTGCACTTAACATCTGTTTGGCAGACATTTTGCACAGGGGTAACAAGAAAGGTGAAAAAAGGTGAGGATTCAGAAACACTGAATTAAAACTGTGTTAGAAAATGTTAATGTGTTTATAGCACTGGTTTTTTTTTTTTGCTTGTGTATATGTATGGTCTGTACCAAATTAAAAAAAACCCCCTGTATCTGAGCATTTTTAATCTACTTCAAAGCCCACTGCAGTCCTACTAATTTCAACAGGCTTTTGAGGAGCCCTTATAACACATTCATCTCTAGGCATATACACATCATTCAGAATGTCTCGTATTGGCATATTATTTCTAGTTTCATTCAGTTCTCTTACTGTCCCAAGCCTTAAACATCTGCATGGTTAATTAAGAATTACCTTCAAATTGTAGATATAGGTTAAACTGCAGATACAGAGTGTTCAAGCACTGACTCGTAACTTACACCTTGAAATTTAATGATACATCTCATTGCTTAGAAAAGCTTTGAGTACATCTAGGACTAGCCAGAAAGTGGGAATATTTTTCCCTCAACACAGGCAAGCTTGTATGCAGGTAACTCTCGGTATATCATCTACAAGGACTTTGCTCTCAGTCACAGTGCAACTTGATAAATTATAGCATGATAAACGTCCTCTTTTCCCTTCTGCCTGTGATCTATGTGCGCATCTCACAGGTAAGAGGAGCATAAAAAATTGGACAAGAAAATAAGGCTGCACTGAACAGAAAGAGAGCTCTTTGGTTAACATGGCAAGCGCTGGGCTCGAGAAAGGTAATGTACAGCGAGACATTCACTAGTGAATGCGGGAATTTAGACACATTAAGGTGCGTGAAGTCCTCTGAAAGAAACCCCAGGCTAACAATGGATAGGACAAGACCTGGTGAAACAGTGTCTAATGCACCCCTGTTGACTGGCCTGGTCAAAGGATGTTACTTAAAAATACATATTAGACAGACAGCTAGACAGACAGATGAAATCCCCACTGCCAGCATTGCTCCGTTTGGGCAGTGATACCAAGAGATGGACTCCGCCGCCTGCTGGGATTGCTCCAGGGAGCTCTTTTCTCCTTCTTCCCTTCCTTACCCTGGCAGAAGAGGGGCTTTTTTTCCCCCCAAAATATTTATTTTTATATAGATAAATATAGATCTATAGATATCTATAAATCTGTCCCTCTAACAAGCTGCCAGGTGACTCCCGTGCTTCACTTGGCAGATCAAAACACAGTTTGGCGGCAGCAGGCGGCTCAGGTGTGCTCCCTGCCAGGGAAGGCTGCATTTCCATGATGCCTCAGTCCTACAGCACGGGGAGGGGAAGGGGCTGTGCAGTCCCTCCCATCCATGCAGGGGGCACAGAAGGGAATTGGTGAGACTTTACTCACCAAGGCGCCGCTGGGGATTACAAGAAATAATGGCCACAAGCTAGCAGAGAGCAGAGTTAGACTAGATATTAGGAAGAACTTCTTCACAGTCAGGGTGGCCAAGGTCTGGAATGGGCTCCCAAGGGAGGTGGTGCTCTCCCCTACCCTGGGGGGCTTCAACAGGAGGTTCGACAGGCATCTAGCTGGGGTCATCTAGCCCCGCCCCTCTTCCCTGCCTATGCAGGGGGTCGGACTCGATGATCTATTGAGGTCCCTTCCGACCCTAGCATCTATGAATCCCACTACCCCAGAGAAGGGGGGGAGCTCTGCCCCCCGCGGACCCCTGCTCTTACCTACCCCAGCCCCTCGCGCTCCGCTCAGCCCTGCCCCGCCCCGCCACAGCCGCCCGCACCCCCTAAGGCTCTTAACCAACCTGTCCCGCCCTGTCCAGCACAGCCCACCCTGCTCGCTCGCTGCTGACCTCCGGATTGGCCAACACACACTGCCACACCCTTGGCTCTCCCGGTCCATTTCAATTAGCCTCTTGCTCTCCCATTGGTCCAAACGATAACTAGGTTGCTGATTGGGGAAGACTGAAAGGTGGGGGGAGGGAAGGTGGTTGTCATGGCAACGGCACGACGTGGCACCGGCACGCCGCTCCGGCCGCGAGCCGCTGTGCGGACTGATGCACCCGAGGCTGCGCGTGCGCACTTCGCTTCTCCGCCCCTTTGTGTGTATTGCGCTGGTCCTCCCAGCAGAAGACCAAGGGTCACCAACTGTCCCAACTACACACAGGGGGCGGGGCCACTTTTGAACCTCTGCAGCCAATCACAGCTGGAAGAAGCAGGCGGGATTTAAATACACGTCATGGCTTCTGCTCCTCCAGGTTCTTGGAGGCAGCAGTCGAGGGAGGGGGCGGAGAGCTGCGGGGGGGGGGGCAGAAAAGAGACCAGCCAGCACGGGATTTTCCCCAGTCCCAGGTGTACCCGGCGATGACGTCATGGTACCATAAACACGCCACCGTGACATCAGAGCACTCAGCTTGGTGGTGTGCAGGCATGATGACGTCAGTCACGTGCATCAGACGCCGGCTGTTGGGCTCACCCCGCTGCGGTGCTGCTAGCTGACCCCTCTTTAGGGCTGAGTTGGGATTGTGCTCGGCGGAGGCTCAGAGTCCCAGGTGTACCCGGCGATGACGTCATGGTACCATAAACACGCCACCGTGACATCAGAGCACTCAGCTTGGTGGTGTGCAGGCATGATGACGTCAGTCACGTGCATCAGACGCCGGCTGTTGGGCTCACCCCGCTGCGGTGCTGCTAGCTGACCCCTCTTTAGGGCTGAGTTGGGATTGTGCTCGGCGGAGGCTCAGGAGTCCCCCAAATCGGTGCCTTGCACAGCAGCTCCTCGTCAACTACAACCTGCAGAGCCAGTCCCAGCAGCCTGGTTTTGCTCTTTGCTGCCTCTGATGTCATCCCCCTCCGGGGGAAATCTGACCTCTGGTTGATGGGAGCCCTGTGACCACCCCCCGTTCAGAAACCATGGGTCGGGTCCTCCAGCATTGCTTTCAGATGTGTGAAGCTTAACGTTACCACAACTCGTGGCGGAGGTGATATCTTTCATTAGACCAACTAGATATTTGCACACACAAAAAATTAAAATCTTTATTTGCAATCTTTTGGGCACAGTCACCCTTTCTCAGGCATAGGAGAATGCACAGATTGTAAAATTTCTCCTAGGTGGCAATGAAAATTCATATTTCACATGAGAGCTGAATAGTTGGAATAGTTCGTTTTGTGCAAATTAGGCTCGGATAAAAGTTGGAACAGTCTTTTTAAAGGTTAACATTTGCATTTGTTTTCTGACTTTTAGGTGCATGTTTTTGTGTTTTTCAAAGCAACTGGCAGAGCCACAACCTTAACTTCAAAATTAAATCCGAGCTTCTCATATAACCATCTGACATCAGGAGCCTCAGCTTTTCAGACCCACAGAGTACCAGAGGACTCATAATAAAATTGCAAGAGTTGATGATAACCCCATCTGATGACTGTGGGAAATGACCTGTGAAGTCACAGGCCAGTTTTCAGAGGACAAGTACACACATGACAAAAATTGCCAATGCTTTTCCTCCCTTGTTTCCCTGGTAATTTCAGCAGAGAAGCCAAAACTTGAATGGGCTTTGAAGACCTACCTGTCTTCTTATGACTGTGGCTCCTAGGTGCTACAACAACACAAACAATTCATAATGATAGTAATTAGGGGTTTGACCATACACGCCTACACTGGAAAATTGAAGAGCCTTAGATTTTTCTCCTGGATGATGTGTCCTGTTGTCTTCCAGGGCATGTGCCAAGTCCTGCCAGTGGCCTGTGCTATGAGCACAGTTTTAGTAATTCTCTCTGGCACTTGAAAAAGAATTAATATATCAAATACACTTTTAAAATGTAATTAGGAAAATAATATGAAGACCCATTTCATTTTTATTCCTCTCTCTGCCACCTACTGGCATTCCTTTCACCTGCTATCGCAGCACCATCAAATGACATAAGCTCTTGGAGAGGGCTCCTGAGGGTTTGGAAAACTCCCCCAAAAGGATCATTTATATTATTGTTTCAATGGCACCCACAATGTAGATTTTCAAATGCAAACTAAGGCAGAGTTTACATGGTTAGACTCCAGTCCTGGAACGGGGCTCTGGATGGGTGCAGGTCTCTGCTGCCATAGGTCTAATTGGAGGATTAGTACCTACCAAACTAAAGACCAGAAGTAGGCTGGCACTACCATGACCTGTACTGCCCACTCTGTGGATAAGCAAAAGGCTTCAGTCCCTGGCACAGTCTTCCATGTTCCTTTAACTGGCATAAAACTCACATTAAGTAAGTAGAAATAGGAGTTAGATCAGGGGTAGGCAACGGTTTTTTCTGGAGTGCCGAAAAAAACACAATGTCTACATTGGAAGGTGCCGGAGTGCCGGCATGCCAGAAAAACAAAACCAGGGCAGGATGCACTGCATATTAGTATAGTTAATAATCATAAATGTTGCCTTTTATGGTAAATACCAGATTTTCTAAAAATTGTAAACCTGGTGATAATAAATAAAACTTCTGATCCTTTGATCAGAAACCTTTGAACTTCTGAAACTTTTGATCTTGTGTATTCGTTTTGTGCGGGTCCTCCCACAATAGCCCCCCAGCCCTGCTTGTGCCCCTTGGCTGCCACCCAAAGCCCCTGCCCCCCAGCCCTGCTGGAGGGGGCCCTCAGTTGCCAGGGCTATGGGACCAGGGACCCAGGTCTACAGCTCCCTGCCCCCAACAGAAGGCAGTGGCTGCTGCAGCAGGAGCCAGCTCCCCAACCCACTG